GTGTCAGTGTGCGCGTGTGCGTCCTGATTTCTGAGGTCTTGACACAGCTCCTGTGCAGGAGGTCATCTTCTGCGCTACTGGAAACTGTGCTGATGCCTATCCAGACAATTGAATTGCTTCAACTCTGAGTCAAACGCCTCGACAACAGAAGTTAGTGCCCAGACTTTAAATTTAGGTCGTGTGTCCGCAAGTTTTAGTCTTTGAAGCGATGTCGCGGCTTTTGGCGAGTGCCATGCAGCCAAAACAAGTCATGACGTCTTCAAACAGATTGAATCTGCAGAAGGGTAGCTGGCCCAGTCTGCCCGAGCTCCCACCGACAAAACCGCTAAGCTTCGACACATAATGTAGCCAACTTAGCAAGCTGTCCACCTAGATCTTCTTTATTGGTTCATTGGTTCCCGGGCGATCCATGTGAAACGCTAAAACATCTCAGCAATTTGAGATGAACCACTGGCACGCAAACGGCACAGCTGACAAATTGTCTGTGCCAATGCATGCATCTACCGGCTTTGAGAGGCACAGACGGGCTCGAACTGCCTTGAGAGCAGCAAGAGGCGGCCGCCAGGTCGTTTGTACTGCCGGTGGCTGCTTAAAACTCGCCCAACTGATCCGGAGTCCATCTTGGAGTGCACCAGAACGTGAAACAGTTGCCTCGTCTGCTTCTGAGGAGGCAGCACGCGGCAGAAGCAACGTTGAGGTGTTCGGGGCTTTGTTTGGGCTTCGCCCCGTCGTGCAGACAAGCGGCTCTTCCAGCCCTTGTCCCAGGGATTTCTCCGACCTCAGAAGTCTGCGATAGTCTGTATCACTTCTCAGCCCCCTCAGGGGGAAGTAGCTGACCCTCGGGAGGCAACTGTCGTAGGTGAGGGCATCATTATCGAAAGCCTCGTTGTAGATGTCTGCATCGAGATCCTTCGCTGGAGTGCTCCTCAGCTTTGCCACCAGGATGTTGTCCGGCCCTGATGTTGCACAATGCATACCCAGCGGCTCACCGGTCTCCACGTCGTTGAGAACCCAAAACTCCTTGACGGCTCGGAGATTTGTGCGTTGATTGGCTTGGGCTCGGCAGTGCAATGCATTGCAAGAGCTGAAACTGTGAGCCGCTCCGAGACCCGTTCTTCGGCCCTGACAACGGAGTACAGCTGACGCTTGCAGCGAAGCATCATCGTTTTTGTAATCCTTCGCCAGCTCACTCCTTGAGACGAACCCCACCTCAAATGTCAAGGGGCAGTCCTACAAAATCCTACAAAACAACGCATTCTACAAGATGCGGTAACCCACGGCAACGGCCTGTTTTGCGTGCCCAGCTGCGTGGATTGTGAATATGGGCATGATGTACTTGCCAAAGATTGCAGAATATCCCATATGGAGAATAACGAAGATTGGAAATCCTCAAGTGGTGAATCTGATGCTGCCAAGACGTTGCCTCACACGTATTATCTTTCAAGGCCCTCCGTCGCGCAGCAGAAGGAAGAAGGAAACCCTGCAGCCACACATAAAGAACAGGCAGAGGTATGCGAGAAAACTCCTCCTGGCCCCGGCCAAATGGCCCAAGGTGGCATGAAAACGGGTAGAAGCTGTGTTTGCGCTTGGTTTTTTGCGCTGGAGTGCGGTTTCTGATCGCGGGCTTTCGAGACCTGAACCAAAAAAAACTTGATCCTCGAGAGCCACCCTCCTGCCGAAACCACTTCACTCTACGCCCTTCCTGACAGTCACAGCCCCAGATCTGAAGACGGTATCCAAGCCGCATGTGCAGCACGGCAGCATGCATGTCCTAATACACACTGCGACCGGTATCAGCGAATCCGACGCATGGAGCTTCATCGCGCTTTTTGCATCTGGGCTTGTGCCATCACCAGAAGCAGCCAGCAGCTGACCGAGGCCCGAAACCCATGCAGGAAGGGCTCCAAAGGATGCAAATCATGCAGCTTCTGGCTGCAGGCTTCCTTTCCAGAGGGCTTGGGCCCCATGGACTAAAGGCGGCTCGAGCCTGAAGGAGCACTAAAGGACCCTTTGGGCACAGAGTTCGGCCGGGATCTGCGCATTTAAACTCCCAGCGGCTCGCAGACTCCTCGCTCGCCAGAGGAAGTGGCAGCAAGTCGAAGATGTCGAAGTCAACCTCCGGCTTTGGGCCAAGTCTTGGTGGCAACCTTGAGCATCGCACCAGGGAAGAAAAGCTTAGCAGCCACGATTTGACCTTGGTCGCAGCCCGGTGCAGACTCCAAGCTTTGCAGGTCCTACTGTATCGGAAGGGTGGAAGCTGCAGATACAAAGGCCATCGCACTACACAAAATCATGACTGCTCAAAAAATCGGAGGCACAGAAGCGCGGTAGCCTGACCCCATCGGCCCGTAGCTCAGAGATCGCCCGTCGGGCTGCAGCCTTGCGTGCGCTGCTGAGACTCTCCAGGGTCTTGGCGAAGGTCGTCAAAGTCCGGCCGTACATCCGTTTGTTCCGAGGCAGCCCCAGAATGGCACATGTATATGCCTCTGCAAAGGCCGAATCTGCTTTGAGGCCTAAGGCCTGCACCTTCGCTCCGACAGCCAGGACGTCGGCCAGTGGCGCTGCTGCGTAACATGCCGTCAATGTCGTCAACGTAGCGATGTTTGGCATCACACCCTGCACCGAAAATTGCAAAGCACGGTGATGTTCAAAGTGGCAAGAACCAAGGAAGCATCATGCTTTTTCCGACGGTTTAGAAACACTTCACAACTTACATAGTTGCCTGAGTCAGCATGGACTCGAAAAGGAACATCGCGGCGGGAGTGAACTTGTCCGAGTTTTCGCATGCCAAGATGGCCGAGTTGAAGTGTTCCACGCCCGGTGCCATGCCCCGTTCACACATCTCCTGAAGACACATCTTTTGCACAGAACAAAGTCCAGCAGACCTCCCCACATTACAAGATACAAGCCCGAGTCAGCGTCTGCATGGAAGGATAACAGAGGCAGCTTTGTCTCAACAGCAGCGGTAAAAAGTTAGCGCCCGAGCTCTGGTCTAAGCGGCCCGAAGCACTGGCAGCAGTAATTCGCGGAATCGGCTGTAACTGCTTATACTTTGTAGGAATTCTCTACATCTGTGCAGACTGCGCTAAGAGCTCCTGAAGAGCAGCCTCGGCCGCGTCCACATCACCCTCAGCAGCTGCAGCCTCGAGGCGCGCGGAGAGGATCCTTGGGTGCCGCGGATGGCTTAAGGAAGTGCCCCTTGAGAGCTTCAAGTCAAGGTCATGCGGTTCGTGAGAATGCACTGGCTGCAGGATTGCCTCCTCGCTCCAATGCACCCTTGTTGGTCATTGTTAAATTGTGCTGGTGCTTGCCGTTTATGTGCATGCATATACTAAGTAGCACAATGCTACTGTGGAGCAAAACTTGGCAACATCTCTGTTTCAAACAAAGATCATAGCGCTCACCGCACCAGCCTCCCGGGCTTCTCCCCAGACTTGGCGCACGCGGCCGAAGGCTCGAAGCTTCCTCACTGACTCGCAGAACCAGGAGTATAGCGAGCTGGGTAAGTGACTTTGAAGTTTGAATTTAGTCCGAGGCACGCAAATATGCGGATAGCTTCTGCTTGGAGCGCTGCGTCAGTTGCACGGACCGGATCTGCAGCGCGGAACTTTTCATAGATCCTGGCACCTTCGCGATATCTTCCACATCGATGTGCCACAGCCAATGCCGCTGTAACAACCGCCACGGTGCAGCCAGTATACTTGCTCAAAAGCGTCTGAGCCTTGAACCAATTACCGTCACGTCCAGCCTCCTTCAGCTCAACGACAAGTCTCCGTTCTAGGTCGTTCTCCCCCGGTGCAACGGCAGGCGGCCGTGCGAAGCACGACGGGCGAAGCGCAAGAATCGCGAAGTACGAGGACAAAGCCAGAATGATGCCAGGCTTGGTCACGGGACCCGGAGTCATGTTGACAGGCAGTGCCTTGTCCCGCCCGTGGGCTGCAGCTTGCGTCTGCTTCGCATTGTTTCAGCCGCCGAGAGCCCTCCAACCCCATGAGCCAAACGACAATGTCCATATATCATGACCATGTTCTCAGAAAAGGGACTCCCCTATCGAACCCAGCCAACCGCTAACTGCCACAATTGCAGAAGCCGAGACTCTGAATTGAGGGAGGCACCACAACAGAAGAGCCGCATCCACTGCAAATCCCAAAACGGCAATGGTAGCCAGCCCCGTGCACATCACCTCAGAGCAGGCGCAGACGACGAATAGAGAGCCGCCAACGTCCAGGCTGTGATCTAATGTGAGCCCGCTGGGATAGAAGTCTTGGCCAGGCGCCATGAACTCTCGATGATTGTTCAGGCCTATGACCTGGGCACAAGCACGTTGGTCCGGCCGGCCGCCGGCCAGTGATCTGCTGTCTGACACCCGTTTGCTGAGAAAGTGCATTGGTTACCCATCGGCAGTAGTGGTCGAACCGGAGGATCGGTCGTTTATACAGCCTCGGACGATCCACGCAGGACCAGCATAAGGACTGCAGAAAGGCACAAACTTCAGGAGTCAAGAGGCCACGCTTTGTGAGACCGTTTCGGCAAGGGGAGGCCGGCAGATTGCATCTCATCATGCTTCTCCCTGCTCATCTGTCCTGCTCGGTCCCTCACTGTCTTACAACGGCATCACTCCATCAACCGGCCTGGGTCCGAAAGAAGGCACGTCAACAAGCATGCCAGTGTGACCTCAGCTGTCTACTGCTCAACGACTTTGTAAGCGCTTTGGCGCATATCTACGAGGTTCAGCTTGGCGGTTCTTCTCGTGCAGCCCGCTATCCGGCCACCGTCTTAGGCAAGGTGCAATGTAGAGCACCTGGGAAGTTATGGCAGCAGTCACTCTTCAGTCCAGCCGCTATTCATGCCTGCATCGCAAACAGTCTTCCTGCATGCTTTTGTCTTAGGTGGCCGCAGAGAAGAAGTTGGTGAACAACCAAGAGCCTCCACACCTTAGCCACTCTGCCCTACCCTACCTGCTCGGCCCAAACCGACAGGAAGTAGAACATCGTGGAGTCAGTTTTGAGTGGCTGAAAGCTTGTTTCGACCAAAACGAACAAAGGGTCGAAGCACACAATCTGGGTGAGAAGTAGTAGCTAGGACCATTGAATCATTGAAGTGAAGCTTGCTGGAATGTCCTGCTGAACTATTGCTTGCACGATGCATTTCTTTGATCAATTCCCGCTGCTCCGTCAGCATGCAAAGCGCACCAAGCAATAGTGATGCCAGCAGCACCGTGGGAAAGAAGGGTCGCTCATCAAATATGCCTCAGATCGTAACCACGCGCACACACACACACAGCTAGACTGCTGCGCCTGCCGTGAGCAAGCAGTCTAGAATCTTGTGCACAGCGAAACTCAATCACTCCACATGCGTTGAAATCCAGCTGCAATACCAGTACCCTATTTATGCCCAACCGTGAAGGGCCATGTGAGACAAGATGCCACACACCAATTTTGCTTGAAACTTAGGCTTCACGGATGGCTCCTCCGATGCTTCTTCTGTGGCTTCCTGGGATGGTGACTCGGCAGCACAGAGAAAGTCCAAATAACAAAGCTTATCTTGCTCGAGGCACATCTTGCGCTTCCTCCTGAGAATCAGTTGGCTGTCGGCCACCCACAGCAAAGTCAGACTCAACACCCAGCTGTCTGGCCTCGGGTGCAGACAGGCTTTGGCTGATGGGCCCCTCGGCCGTGAGGAGGCTGGTCATTGCATCGCTCCGTGTCCTTTTCATGTGCCCCTGAAAATTCCATTCTAAAAACATCTGCCGAATTGCACCTTGAAGAGGGGCTGATGCGCCAAACGATGCCCGGGACAAACTTATTTACGCAAGCTTTGCGTGGCCGTTTGTGACTGGCCAGACAGACTTGAAAGAAACTCCTGAACTTTGTGCCGTGTGCACTTCGATAAGGTGGCTGATAAGGCGGCTCCTCCCGAACATGGCACTTGGTCGACGCCCCATGGGGTCGCCACCGCCCTGGATGCTGCTCATCCTGCATCTCATGAAAAGCATTTAGTATCTTCAAACATGTCTTCGTCCTGTAGACACCCGGTTGTTGAAGCGGCTGGCCATGTCCAGGCGAGGTCGGTTGCTGGGACTGGCTGTAGGCCTTTGCATGCACTTGAGATAGCTCCGGTCTCAGATAGTGGCCCTGACATACACCCCAGTTTGCAACTGCTAGGCAATACGGGAAGGGCTGCTGCTTCCTGCAATTCTACTTCTCTCCTTTGGTTAACAGTCCTGTGGACAACAGTCGGCTACAGCTCCGTGATTACAGTAGATAGCACCCAATCACCAAGCTGGCACCTAGGACTGGCCCTGTCGCTACACTTTCACGATTGCCGACTGCTAAGTTTGCGCAATCGAAGCCGAGGCTCGTATTGATTGTAAGCCATGCTCGTCACGCGGGACTTTGCTGACTCTCAGTCCCAATCCCGGTGGCAGAATTAGGATGAGACGCTAGGCCCTGTGTAGCAGTAGCGGCAGGGGGCTAGCACCGTTGAACTGCAAGGTGACTGCATTGTGCTGATGTGTCCCTCTGTGCAACTGAGCCTCCTAGTGGGTTGCATCTGAACAGATGCCAGCGTCAAACGCGTTGCTTCAACCGATTCACTGCATCTGAAAGCAATGGCATTTCCCCTATATCTGTGATGACTTGCAACTGCCTGCGTAGCGCTCCTCATTTCCGCGGCGAAAAAATGGTATGGCCATCAGGACTCCGTTCAATTCTGTTTGCAGGCCTCTTGGGTGCTTCGCGCTTGTGTCCAGTGACAGCTTCTTGCAAATGATATAACTGGCGTCACAAACAGAAAGGAGCCAGTCTTTGCGATAAGACCTGCCCAGCTAGGGTGGGTACCAATGTGGGCGTGGCCGAAGACACTGTATCTCGCAGCAGAAACAAGTGAATCACGGCGTATAATGCCTCACACAGAATCGGCTTGATGTGGAAATCAAGATCGCGAAACTTGCTGTCTTCAACCAAAATGCCGAAGACTTATAAGCACCACGGCGGGGGCACAGCTTGTGCATCCTTTAGCTCGTAGGCGGGCCACTCAAAAATTTGCTCAACGGGAAATCGCTGAACCACATGAGATGGAAGCCCTCCGAGCCCTTCACCCACAGCGCAAACTCCCTTAGTTGCGAAGCTTCAACGATCTTTCCCTCATGTGCACTTCATGCCCAGCACGCTGTCTTCAGAGATGACAGACACAACTTGCTTGAGGAGCGCTTGCTTACTAGTCCTGTATGCTGTCGCCGAGGATCTCTTTCAGCTGATGTCCTTCACTCCCGCTTGCTGGAAGAGTACCGACACCCTGCCAAAATTCGGCACAGCGCGCCAGCTCGCGATCTACCTCAAGGCATCTTCTGATGAAGAACGGTGACCCTGCTCTTCGCTCTCAAAATCCTTCTGAGGAGCCAGAAAGAAGAGGGGATAAGGCGGGCAACTTCCAGTGTAATATTTAATATTCGGTTTCAAGGAGCTGTTCAGAAAAAGCCTCCCACGACGTCAGGTCAGGGGGCCTCTGCTCGCAAGGTGGTCTCCTCGGCGCTGAAGGTCGCCCCGGCCTCCTGTAGCGGAGCAGCTAATCCCCAGCTGCCTGAAAAGTCCTCAAACGCCCAAAGGCTGAAAACCGCCTCGAAGCGACGGGCCTTACAAGCCTTAAGTCATACGACTCGAACTCATCAACCAAGAGCAATGACTTGGCTCCCGCATGGTTTTCCAAACCTCTGGCCCCTTCTCCCAGAGTGACCCGAAAAATAGCACACACACCCTGAAGCGAACACTAGCGCGCGGTACAGCGAGAAGCCATGCAAGATACGCGTGCAAAGTCATCCCTATGCAGTATTTGCACACCCGCTCGGCGGCCAAACATCACCCGTGGCGTGAGAGACTGGAGCCACAGTGGTGGCTAAACCTCTTAAGTCGCTGATCTCAAGCGCATTTCTGTTTTTTCGGAGTGGCAAATACTGGCGAACGTGTCTGCAGCTGGAGTGGCTGCATTTGTTGTATTGATTTGTATTGCGGCATGGGTTAATTAGGTGACCCTGTACCCCGTGCTGATTGGAGATTTTGAAAAAGTTGGTGTGTCCATGTATGTCCTCTATAATTTGCCAGAGATTGCACGACTATCATGTTTTCACTTTCTTTTCTGCTAGTCGTGGAGGATAACAAGAGGCCGGAAAACTCATTTTAGTAGGCCGGCGGTGGTGAGGGGCGTAGGACGAAGATGAACGTCTTCAACATGAAACATGTTTTGTCTGGGTACTAGTAGTTCTCTTGAGTTGATCAGGGTTTCGAGATTTTTGGGGCCCAAACCCCCTTTAGACTCTAGAATCTCCTTCTTCTACTCCCTTCTCAAAACTCTGCTGTTTACTCAAAATGAAAACAACAACGAAGAAGAAGGGGATTTCAAGGCCCTCCCACAACAAAACAACCCCACCACCCTCCCGGGTCACGGGTACGCGCGATGGCGCTTTCAAAGCTTCGGCTTGAGCATGCGGCATCATGTGGTTCTCAGCATGCCTAGTGCGAAGCTAGCGGTTTTCCTAGCGCCACCTTCGGAAATAAGCGGCTCTAGTTGCGTGCCGCCTCATGGCGAAGAGCAAAAAGGATGCACCCTTGACGCATTACTGTCAATCTAAATAAGCCAACAGACATGCGACTTTAGAACATCCCAGATACTAGTACCCCTAAACCCTCCTGCTGCAGTACTACTGCATAGCTTTCTGAAGAGCCTGTCTCCCTCTACAGTGCAGAGGGAGGGCTCGCCACTCCCACACCCCTCTGAAGAGCTACACCCCTCTAAAGCGCCTATCTGAAGCGTCTGCCTTTCTCTACTGCCCCGGGATGCAACGCCGGGGGACTCCGAACCAAACCCAGCACCAAATTAATTGTTAAACCTGTTGGAATCGAGAATTAGGTCAGTGGATCTGGCCCCTCTCCAACACTACCCCCGGAAGGCACTCACGGACCGATGCCTCCATCTTCTTGAATCGTTCGAAAAGCTCTGCCCATAGCTTCACCTCCGTGTCAGAAGCACGAAACTGTTCACAAGTCCACCACCGGAACCAAGGACTGCCTGGAATCTACCTGGGTACCACTGGGCCTGATCTTTCGCTCTCCCGCCTCGCCGAAGTGGAAGGGCCTTGCTAAAGAGACACGTCGTGCCAGCTCCGCACGAAGCTCCAAGCAGGAGCTCCGACCCTGAGCCAAGGTCATGACAAAACTTAAACTTCGTCCTGGCCATGCCTGACCAAAGTCACGCTGATGGCCTCGAAGTGAAAGCTCAACGGGCAAAGGAGGTTGAGGCAACGCACCTGCCATGCTCTCATGCGAAGTCTGATAACTGATAACTGCTCCTGGGCTGTCTTGTTCCGCCTCCGGTGGAGCAAGGGGCAGCTCTTTGAGTCGGCCCTGCAAATGACATGAGGCCAAGTCTACGCGGTTCTACCAAAGGCCTCCAGGCCTCCTGCAGCTCCTGTCGTGTCTCAGCAGCAGCTGCAAAGTAAGAATCTTTGAGCTCCTGTTCCAGCTGCACTCAGTCACTGGTCGTTTCATCCTGGGCAACTCGACATGTTCTCTGGTCTGCTGCACGAATTTCCTGGTAGTCGTCCCGCGAGACTGCGTCCAAACCTTCAAGCAGCGTCTGCAACAAAGGAACCGAACGTGCGACTGAGGCAATTAGATTTCGCCCTCATGCGTGGAAGGCGAGAAATGGTTCATTGCAAAACAGCTGCTGTATAGACAGGACTCTTCTCACGCTCCAAGAAACGCAACACAGTATCCCTACACCGCTAGCACATGGTTGTCCGAGCTGCCGGCCAACACCTTTTGCCCATGCTCTGCACCTGCCCTCCAGCTGCGGTCAAGCGGCCGCTCCCGGGTTCCTTGCTTTCCATCCGTCGCAGACTCTCCAGCATGATCTTGCGGGACTTGGACAAAGCCAGTTCGGAGCTGGTGCCTTGGACTTTCTAAATACCAGCTATCATTGACATTCACACATTGAACACAACCGCAACGCGCTTCGAGTGTTGAACCCCGGTGCACCTAGCACTAATATGTGAAACTGTCGCATGACATCTAGTAAACTCGGTAGGACATGGCAGCACCAAAATGAAGCTTCTTTGACAATAACCCAAAACTTGTTGCGCGGAGCTATGCACCCCTCACGCAGCATCACGCAGCACGAATCCGAGCAAATTCAAGTCCATGTCGGATGCGGACAGCTTTGTGCTTGTTCGGTGGCGGCTTGCTTGCCTGCAGCTGCTACAGTGCATTGGGGTGATACAGTATGTAGATGTTTTCGATGAGTGCTGTGAGGTGTGGCGGGACGACATACCTTGAGAGAGCCGTGAGCAGCGCTTTCTGGGTGAATCTTGTCAAGCTTCTCCCAGTCTAACCGGATAGTGTGAAGTGATTGTTCGGTGGCTTCGGCTCCGTCGATCAGTCTGTGAATGTGGATGGGTTGTGATGATGATGTGGAGCGTGCTGTCCGGAACCCGTACTGTGACAATGGCAGCCTATCGCTCATGGCCCCCAAACTGCCAGACCAAATTGTAGAAGTTCGGAGAGTGCAGCAGAAACTCATGACGCATGGCATCTTGCTTTGCCTACCTCGACGTCCAACAATATTGCAACAAGCATCTGTCCACAAGAAGCGCTGGCTCTTCCCAACGAGCTGCGGCTGCCTGCAACAGTCTGTGCAGCGGTGGAGCTGCTTTGTCAAACCAGGGCATCGACGCCACCGGAAATGAGACTGGAACACTCACGGTGTCCGTTGAGGGACACAAAGATCCAATGAGCCGCCTCATAGGTAGCATCGCGCATCTCATGAGCCGCCAAAGTGTGCAAGGTCCATTGGAACCGGTCGGCAAGAGGAGTGCTGTAGCCTTAGAGAGAAGCAGCTACTGCCACTAAACTGCCATGCCGTGGTTCGAAGCCGAATCTGGCGATGTGACCGCCAATGTTTGCACACTGATAGGGCAAGCGCGATCAAGGACTTCCTGCCCTTTCTTGATTGGAGCGATGGCTCGGAACACCATGACATCCTGGGAACTCAAGTAGCTGGGCACATACAAGATGCAAATCTACGCTACGAATCGAGAACCTATGACTTTCAAGAGTGCCAAGCTCAGTCTGCAGCTCCAACAAACACGTGGGCTGTGTTTGGCCTCGCAGCGGAACCACAGGGTGCAATGCTTTTCCCTGGATTTCCTTGCCATGGTTTACTGCTTCGTGCGCCCCAAAGATGACATGTCAACACGGCAAGGCCAGCCTGCTGTCACATTCTAAGGCATGATTCACCTGAGTCAACCGTTGCGCCAATCACGACAGTGTACTCGGGCAACCACAGTCACGGCAGCACATTGCAAACATGTTGCCGTTCTTTGCTCGCGGCTTTCGATAGTGCAGCTTACGGCTGTCATAGCCGAGCCGCCATAGGCGGCACGAGCCAAAGCCCCAGCCCAGGCATGGGCGTGAGTGTCTGCGGATGGCAGCCGGGCCAACGATGAGCCTGAAGGCAATGCCATCTGATGCCATGAAGTTCCATGAACTTTCCAAGGTGCTTGTGCTTCTACTGAGGCGGTGACGTTGTGCTTGACGATTCCTTGCTGCACATTGACACATCGGGGCACCGGTAGAAGTGGCAAAGCCGCGGCATCGACTAGTCGCATCGACTGCATCTTCATCCCGAGACCACCGGAAAGGAAGGAGTTTGTGCATGTCCCTTGAAGAGATTCCACAAACATCGCCAAAGGCAGGTTGGTTCTAACCCCCACAAGGAAAATGTCCGTTCCGCTTTCAGAAACGCCACTGACGCGGCACCGCTGAGACTCCTTGTTTATGCTTCGGCTGCAGCATGCCCTTATTTGAGAAGGCTGGACGACAGTTCGTCGGCGGGGGCGCAGGTGACCATAGGACCAGCAGCAGAAAACCCGCAGCAGCTCTGGGAGCCGGAGTGGAAGCCAAGGTGACAAGGAAGTTTTGTTGTTTTGTTGGGGGGGCTCTGAGAGGCCTCGCTTGTTTGGGCTTTAGTAAGGGGTTTAAACGTGAGAGTTTCAAAACGGAATCCAAGGCTAATTCAAGCTCCCGATTGCCTAGCCCGAAGTCCAAAAGACGAGCCACCTTGCAGCTGGGAGCAGTAGTAGCAACAGTACCACTGATGACAGTACTGAACAAGCAGAAGAGCGGGCAAACAACAGCGGAGGCAACAGCCTAGTACAATAGCAGTAGAGGTAGCAGTGGCGGTAACGGTGCGACTGCAGTGGCGGTGGTGATAGCAATAAGAATAGTAGCGGCGTTGAAGTTGAACCCTTGGAAGTTGGAAGATGGATAATCGGGAAGGGGGGGGGTGACCACCCTACTTTCAACTCAAAACTTCAATACGTCACCTGGACCTGCCCAGCATCTGCACGAAATCAATGAGAAGTACGGAACCTTTATAGATTTTTCGACGAATCAACCTGAAGAGATTCGTTTTTCATTGAGGCTGCCATCACGCCATTCATCATCCTCTTCATGTGCGACTGCCCTCGATGCTTCAACTCTCCCTGCTTGTCCACACAAGAAAGCTATTGCGAGAAGGCTCTGCCCAGGCGATACTCCAGCACCGGCGTGCCAGCACCCCTTGGCATCGGCACCGCGAAGTCCTGCGTATGACAGATTGGGTTTAGGCTCTAGGTCCAAAGTCTGCCAGCCTCAAACCGCTCAGGCCTCGGTCTGCCATGAGTGGGGCACCCAACCTGGACCAGCAGGATCCTGCGGGCCGAGGCTCTAGTTCGTCTAATTCGTCGCTATGCCTCATGCACCTCGGCATAGCTGAAGGGGCATGCACAAAAGAAAAAAACGGCTCGGAGGATCTACGAATCTGATAATAAGTGAACTTAAGTGTGACATGACATTGCAGCCCATCGTGGAATACAGTGTGCCTTTCTTCCGATTTGAACAGAGCCGACTAGCGGCACCGGCTCCTGGCCGTCAAAAAGTGTGCAAACGTCTTCCATCAGCTGCGCCTGCACCAATCCGCGAACCGTTCACGAGTCAATCAACCCCGTGTCAGAGCCAGATATGATAAGTGGTTCAGTCACAGTTGGCTTCACAGAAGAACGATCGACGCCTCGTTGAGGCACCTTGCGGTCAAGCGCTGCGTCAGCACCTCCTGCGGAACACAGGCATTATCAAGTTCTTATGACCTATCAAGGATTCATAGCCCGACAGAAATGATTGTGCCAAATGTCACTGAAGGCAACAGCAACCCGGCACACCATGGACCTCCAAATTTGCTCCGTAAGCCCAATCGCTGTCCTGACAAAGCTGAGGGATTTTCAGCTCGAGTGCCAAAAACTTCCGAAAAATGCCGACACGAGAACTGTGGCAATCTCGTAAGGTGAGCCGTGCGACTCCCGGTCGCACGAGATCCATTGGCCGCTCGCAAATCAGAAGCTCACCTGCGGCGATGTCTTCCTCGGCCGCTGGCACTATGTCGAAGCTCACATGGCACTTCTGGAGGGAAGACTGAAGATGGCTCATGTCGTGTGAGATGATGCTCAGTTCAAACTCCAAAGGCCAAGCATCTGAAGCAATCATGCCCCGACCGCGCCCTGGAATCCATTCCCGGGTCAGCTTTGGAGACTGATACCTCTCAAAACAGGCACAACAAGGACAAGCCACGCACACACGCACAAGCAAGGAAGCAAAACTGAGCCCAAAGAGTCTACTCTCTCAGGGAGGCGCAGGACCTACTGGCAGCAAAGCTGGGCTATGCTGCCAAAGAACCTCAAAGGCCCTGCTTCGCCAGGTATCTCATAGTGGTTGTTCGCGATGGCAGCGCCTGAAATGCCAAACACAGTTTTTTCAGAGTCGGAGCGAGTGACTGAGGAACCCTTTGGCCGTTCGCTGCTGATGCAAACATGCGGCGCATGAGCATAGGCACGTCAATCTGCCCGGTCATGTGCCTCGCCAGATTGGCATCATGATTCGAGAAAGCGTCGTCAGGCTTTGCAATCTCTGCCCTTCCTATCTTAGACACGGTGAATGTCTGCTCCCTTGATGCCTTGCACCGACTTCTACCAGAAGCGAGAACTTGTCGGAGTAGTTCTCACGCGCGTACTCCCGGACGCCCGGCTCCTGGTCCGGGCTCCGGCTATCGCTCCGCTCTTGTTCACACCCAGCGGTGGGAGGAGAGATCACATGCGAGCACCTCACTCCCCACCCCGCGGCCGCACCTTCATGGCTTCCGAAGCTTCGGTCCACTTGCCTTGCTTTGCTAGAGCGCGTGCTCGCAGCAAGCCGGCAGCAGGTCCGCTGAATGAAAGCGCCTCCTTGGATTGCGGGTCTATGCGTCCCTGCTACATTTCAGCAAGAAACAACCAGTCCGTCGTGCTCACCTCCTCTGAGACCAACTTGCCAAGTATCTTGCATGCACGGCCCAGTAAAGCCACGGGCAAGCAACAACTGGCGGCAAGAGACAAAAACTCTCCGAAAGCATGACAGCACTCTCCGAAAGCATGCTCCTATTACAGAGGCCAGAATGGACTACTGATAGTCAGTGCATGTGGACCTGAGGATTCATGACTGCACTTGCCCAAACCTGAGTCTTAATCCGCATGTCTACCGCGCCTCTGCACGACGCCGCCGCAGCTCCACGGCAGTCGGTCCCGTCTTCTGCGTGTCAGTGCCATTATCAAAAACACCTCGTGGATTCGCGAACAATATCGAACCATCTACGGAATTGGCGCCTTCATATTCCCTCGCAATGCGGATGACTCTTCTTGGGGGGGTGCAGGCTGCAGGCCCTGCCGTCAGCAAGTTTGTCTCCTTGACATGTGCCGAGATCTTCGGCCGGGAGGCCGAGTAGCCGGAGACCGCGCGTCAGAAGAAGATAGGCCACCTCTGCAAAACAACACTGTGACTGCTTTCGCATTGATGAGGTGAAGTCCGGCCGGGACACAAACCTCCCTGCCCGGTCCGTCTTTTCCGTCTCTCTCTTTCTTTCGCCAGGGCTATGGGCTAGCGGGAAGCCCCCCTAGCCGTCTCTCTCTCTCTCTCTCTCTCTCTCTCTCCCTCCTTCTTCCGCAGGGCGTCGGGGATTGTTAAGGTCCGCCGGCCTATTGGCCCCCCATATGTTATGGGGCTTTGAGGGGGCAGTGAGAAGAAACAGGGATAAACAGGGATCAACGTCAGAAGGACAAGCTATGTTTTATGGGAAGGCTGACATTTATCCATGTAGTGACCTTGCGTTCAGATTGTACGAACCGAAGTGTCCTCAACAAACATCGAACATCGAAATACCAAAACTAAAACACCATACACTTCGGGCTACAAGTCGACATGTCGAAGGTTTACATGTGGCATGTTTCGGACCGCACCAGCTGTCGCGGCAACACAATGATATGAAATTTGGGGGGCCAACTGGCCGGGGGGTCTAACCGACCCCTCATGCCCTTGGGAAGAAGAAGACAAGAAGAGAGTGTGTATCGATGCTGTTTTGCCGTATTTTTGATGACTCAGGGACGACACGGGGGATGTGAGTCATATCCACCATCACGATACAGTGCCCTGTTACACACCAATGTAACTAAATAGCCTTGGTTTCGGCCGCAGCCTAGAGTGGGGAACAGTGTGCGTTTGCCGATCCGATTCTCAGCTCCCTGCTTTCTTGAGTTCTTGTACTTTCAATCGGGGGATCGCAGAAGCTGTGACGGGAGCCAGCTTTCACGTGACCTTTTCACTTCTACCGCTGCTTCTTGTGGGGAGAGCAGCATGGGGTTTTCAGGGGGTGTGAGAAGTTAACTCTCAAGGCGGAGTTTTGGCTGTAAGATCCCCCGGCTTGGAGTCCAGTACAATACTTTGGGACACCCATGTGGATCTGCTAGCGTTCCGGGAGCCAAGGCTGCAACTCTCTCTCTCTCTCTCTACCTCTCTTTCTCTTGCTTGCTTGCTTGCGGGGCGTTTGGGTGCGGGGACGCAAGGACCCCCCACCCTGCGCTCTCGCACTACGCCTGTCTCTTTCTTTCTTTCGCCAGGGCTGCAGACGAGGGTTGCCCCTCGCCCGCTACGCCTGTCTGTCTCTCTCTCTCTCTCTCTCTACCAGGTAAAAGGAGCAGAGCGATCCAGCTCTACTCCGCGCGCCCCTGCAGTTCGAGTGGTCTCATGGTCCCCCTACGGGAAATTGCCATAGGGGGCTCGGCTTTACACGGAAAGTCTTCTTCAACACAGTCAAAGGGAAAGCAAGGCGCTCCCCCTCGCGCGCGCACGCGCCCTGGCCGTCGTTGTCTCAAGTACAGCTACTACACCAGATGAGGGCCTCCGTGCAAAAACTCTTGAACCCCCCTTTACGCTAACCTAGTTTCCCCCAGGCCTCGTCTGGTAAGCCGTTTACCGGCTCTGGCGTAGCATCTCGCACTCTGTTGCGAGCATACCACTCTCGTGCTCCGGCTGAACTCAATCCCCCGTGTGACGCATGCAGGTAAACACAGTTCACACTGTCAGCACATGAAACACATGAAACTGGGTCCCCGACCTTTGTACTGACACCCTTCATGCATTGTACCCCCACGCGGCAAACTAAGATAGCCCCCATTCAACTAGCACAACGGTCGAGGAAGCCTCTACTCAGTGGCAGCAGCTAGCATTCTCCTACGCCTGTGTTCCATCGGTTCAGGATCCGAGCCCCCCTCAGTAGTGCTTCTCGGGGCCGATGGTGGGTCTTCCCCCGCCGCCTCTTGGAGCCGCTGTTCTTCTTCTTGCCGTTCATACTCTTCCAGCGCGTCCAACAGGTCGGCATCCGTCGGGAAGGCTCACTCCCCTGTGACGGGTCGGTTGAGGGGATGCTCCCCGACCACTGCGGCATGGTGAGCGGCAGGATCCATTTCCCCCCATGCTCTGCATCTTTGGCAGCGTTCTTTTCATCACGTCCCGCGCCTGACGAGTCCCCCGCAGGGTCCCCCGGCCCCGAAAGTCTCTCTCTCTCTCTCTCTCTCTCTTGCTTGCTTGCTTGCTGGGGGTTTGGGGTCAAGGACCCCC